CGAGCAGCATCTTAGAGTGGTTCTTCAGACCTTGAAGGATAGCCAGTTATATGCTAAGTTCTCGAAGTGCGAGTTCTGGTTGAGCTCAGTTGCATTTCTGGGTCATGTTGTATCAGCAGAGGGTATTCGGGTTGATCCAAAGAAGATTGAGGCAGTCAAGGGCTGGCCTAGACTAGTATCAGCAACAGAGATTCGGAGTTTCTTGGGGTTAGCAGGCTACTACCATCGATTTGTGGAGGGGTTCTTGTCTATTGTAGCCCCGATGACCAGGTTGACCTAGAAGGGTGCCCAGTTCAGATGGTCAGACGAGTGTGAGGCGNGAGGTTCGTGGGATCGGTTTTTGCCTTTAGCGTAGTTCGCCTACAACAACAGCTACCAGTTGAGTATCCAGATGGCTCATTATGAGGCTTTGTATGGTAGGCGATGTCGATCTCCGGTTGGATGGTTTGAGCCGGGAGAAGCTCGGTTGTTGGGTACAGATTTGGTTCAGGAGGCTTTGGACAAGGTCAGGATCATTTAGGATAGACTTCGTACAGCTCAGTCCAAGCAAAAGAGCTATACGGATCGAAAGGTTTGAGATGTGGCTTTCATGGTTGGTGAGCAGGTATTGCTCCGACTGTCGCCTATGAAGGGCGTGATGAGATTTGGGAAGAAGGGCAAGCTTAGCCCTAGGTTCATTGGGCCATTTGAGATTCTTGATCGAGTGGGAGAGGTGGCTTATAGACTTGCATTGCCACTGAGCTTATCAGTCGTACATCAAGTGTTTCTTGTGTCCATGCTTCGGAAATATCACGGCGATCCATCCCACGTGTTAGATTTTAGCACTGTCCAGTTGGACAAGTACTTATCTTATGAGGAAGAGCCGGTAGCTATTCTAGACCGACAGGTTCGCCAGTTGAGGTCGAAGAGTTTTCCTTCGGTTCGTGTTCAGTGGAGAGGTCAGCCTCCTGAGGCATCAACCTGGAGTCCGAGTCCGATATGCGGGACCGTTCTCCTCACCTTTTCCCCGACTCAGGTGCTTCCTTCTTATGTCCGTTCGAGGATGAACGGTTGTTTTAGAGGTAGAGAATGTGACGACCCAAAGGGGTTATCACCGGTTTTCTCCCTTTTTCCGTACTTCCAAGGCCTTGAAAACCTCACCTTTAGTTGCCTCGATTTGCGTGCGCAGTCCGGGCGCATAGCCGGAAAAGCTTATGTGTTAAATTATGTGAAATTTGATAAATTGTGGCTTTAAAATGGTTAAAGTTGAATTTGGTCAACATTTTGGGTAAACAGACCCATAACCGTGATTTGACGGTCCCGGAGGGTCCGTAGAAAAATATGGGACTTGGGCATATTCCCGGAATCGAAATCCGAGGTCCCGAGCCCGAGAAATGAATTTTTGAAAGAAATTATTTTCTGAAATTTAATATGAAAATTTGAAATAAAAATAAATTAGAAAGCATTGGTAACGGGCCCGTATTTTGGTTCCGGTGCTCGGTACATGTCTCATATGTGGTTTAAGCGCTTTCTGTGAAATTTGGTTGAAATCGGACGTCGTTTGACGTGTTTCGGACTTAAAACTCTAAATTTGAAAGTTTATGAGGTTTGAAGAAAAACTAGTGATTTGAGGCTTGATTCGTTGTTTATGATGATAATTGGCGATTTGATCGCACAGATAAGTTCATATGAGGTTGTTGAGTTAGTACATGTGTTTGGTTAGGAGCCCCGAGGGCTCAGGTGTGATTCGGATGTGTTTCGGGATGGTTTTGGACTTAGAAAAGTTGCAGAAAATAGCAGTTCTGGTGTTCTGTTACCTAGTGCTATGCGATAGCATAGGCCTTTCCGCGATCGCATAGAGTAAGTTTCCAGGTGCCTTGTTTGTTCTATGCGGTCGCATAGATCCTCCTGCGATCGGGTATAGTAGCCACCATCTGTTATACGCGATCGCATTCCCCTTCCGGGATCGCAATGCATAAAACCAAACCCGAAATGGAGCCCGTTTTCTTCTATGCGTTCGCAATACACTGTCCGCGATCGCAATGGGCAACCTTCCTCTCCCTATGCGATCGCATGACCTTCTTCGCGATCACATAGAGCATTTTTCTGGCCAGTTATTTTTTTTTTTAAAAAAACTTCAGAAACAGTAGCTACGGGATTCATTAGAAAGTTCACAAAACCTTTTCTTCTCCAAACTCTTAGGCGACCATTGGAGCGATTCTTCACCAAGACCTCTTGGGTTAGTAATTCTTAGCTTATTTCCTTCCATTTCCTTCAACATCAATTGAAATCCTAGGCCTAGAATATGTGATTTAAGGTAGAAATTGGGTAGAGTTAGGGCTTTTTTACTTTTCTTGATTTAGACCTCGTTTTGGGATCGAATTTGAAAATAAATTATATATTCGGGCTCGTGGATGAATGGGTGATATGAATTTGGTCTGAACCTCGTATTTTGACCAAGCGGGCCCGGAGTCGATTTTTAGAATTTTGGGAAGAAAGCTTAGAAATCTATGTTTAGGCATTAGGTTTGATTTGTTTAGCTTATATTGATACTATAAAGTCGTTATTTCATAGATTTGATTGAGTTGGAGCCGAATTCGAGAGGAGAAGCGGTCATTGTGGATTAATTTAGCAGTGGAAGTTGTGGTAAGTGTTCGGTCTAACTCTATCTTGAGGGATTAGGAGTTGAGTTTTACTTACTACTTGCTTTGTGTTGTGTCCGACGTATAGGCATGGTGACGAGTATCTATACGTTGGGGGTCGAGCATGACCGTGAGTCCTAAATTGCTAAATTGTTGTATTCTTAAGTAATGCTTATGAGAACTTGGTTGAAGATCTTTGAAACTGAGTAAGTAAATGTTATGATTGAGCATTTGTATTAATTGTGTTAAGTAGAAATTGAGTAAATTGGTTATAGCTGGATCTCCCTTGCCAGGATAGTTGATTTGGTATCTTGTTCCCTTGCCGGGAAACTTATTATGTTATCTTGCTCCCTTGTCGGGATTATCCTGTGATATTGTGTTGGACTGAAATGGGAGCGGGTGGTACGCCTACCACAAATTATGAAATGAAATGGGAGCGGGTGGTACGCCTACCACAAGATAAAATGAAATGGGAGCGGGTGGTACTCTACCACAAGATAAAATAAAATGGGAGTGGGTGGTATGCCTACCACAAGATGTGATAAAATGGGAGCGGGTGGTACGCCTACCACGAGATGTGATAAAATGGGAGCGGGTGGTATGCCTACCACAAGATATAATGAAATGGGATCGGGTTGCACGCCTGCAACAAGAGAAAACTGAGACAAGTGAAAGTGGTTGTTTTTCCCTTATTCTACAGTAGAAGTGAGCAAATGTAGTTTTCCGTTTTTATTTCTAATATTCTGTTTTATCTGCTATCCCCGTACGCATGCTCCCCCTCCCATCTTTAATTGTTTACTTTCCGCTGTTTTCCATTGTACTTGTATATATATATATATATATATATATCTGCACAGGTTTATCTGGAGTCTGGGTATCAGAGCACTAGGTTACATAGGTCTCACAACTCACGGACAACCTTAGTAGAGTCTGAGGGATTGGTACGGAGACGTCTGTATTTATCCCCCAGAGGTTACAGAGTTAGGAAAACTTCACATCTGTTCTTTCTTGTCGTGCAGTTCTATTTCCCCAATACTGATTGAATTTCTATTCCGTTCTTTCGCAGAGGGCAAGGAAACGCGCTTCATCATCGACCGCGCAGCAGCCCGAGCCCCCAGCAGCGGCTCCTATTAGGGGCAGAGGGCGAGGCCGAGGTCGTGCCAGAGGCCGAGGCAGGGGCAGAGCTCAGCCCCGAGCAACAGTTCCAGAGGTGAAGCCTTATGTTTATTATATGTAGAATAAGTAGTATTGTTGACTCTGGTCAACTACTTTTATGACCTCTATTTTTTCTTACCTCTTTATATCTTTTATATTTTTAAATTTTGTTATTTATTTTAATTATAGAATTTTATATTTAAATATTATATAAAAATATTTTTTGGGTTAAAAAGTAGCCCAAAATTGATATGCAAATGTATTATGGTTTATATATATATATGCACGCCAAGAATTACAATAATGTTATATTATCCAAATAAATTAATAATTTATATTAGATAATTGAAATATTAAATGATTTTAAAGTCCTATATTAAGACTTCTTACATAGTTAAATAATGAATAATTTCATAAATAATATTATAATTAATTTCAAAAAGGGATATCTCTCTAAAGTATTAACTATTATATTATGTCTAAAATTAATAGATTACAATTATGTTACATCTTCTCTAAATAAATAAATAATTTATATTAGATAATTGAAATATTAAATGATTTTAAAGTCCTATATTAAGACTTCTTACATAGTTAAATAATGAATAATTTCATAAATAATATTATAATTAATTTCAAAAAGGGATATCTCTCTAAAGTATTAACTATTATATTATGTCTAAAATTAATAGATTACAATTATTTTACATCTTCTCTAAATAAATAAATAATTTATATTAGATAATTAAAATACTAATTTATTTTAAATTCATGTTTAAAATTTCTTACATGATTCAAAGGATTACAAATTTTTTGTTGACTTTGAAAATTGGATAAATTTTTAAAGTGTTAGCCACTGTTCATAAACTTTGTACCACTATCCAGCATAATAGTGTGCTCGGTAAATATATGTTGTTGTACATACTTTTACAACTTCTGCAAAATCTAAACATGAAAAATTAATATTATTCATTTAAAGTTCTAAATATTAGGATTTCTTATCTAGTTAAAAAAAGGAAAAATTTAATAACTAAAATTTTATTTGATTTAGAAGTCCTAAATATAGGAAAACAACTAAAATTATAATTTTATCCGACGTGAAATTAGTTTTTAAAGGATAAAAAAAACATAATATTTCGCTAAGGGGCTTTTTTTAATACAGTAGGGATTAACTTCGTCGATTAACTGGAATCCAATGATACTTATGCTCCTAATATTCCAACCTTCTCCAGTTACTCTTAGGAAAAAGTCTTGTCACTAATTTGCCGTTTGCGTGCGCGCCACTTTCATCTCATCATTTTTTATTAGTCCCTCCCCTTGCCACTGTCACAGGCAAAAATGGCTGAGCAAACTTCTGACCATACTACTCCCCTCCTCCGCCGCAGCTGGTGGCGCAGCCACCTTTCCACCCTTCCATTCACCACTTCACTGCGTCTCAAAACCTCCCTCCTCTCTGAACTCGGTGGCTCCGTCGGCGACTTAGGCACTTACATCCCTATTGTTCTAACACTAACCTTAGTCTCCCATCTCGACCTCAGCACTACCCTTATCTTCACTGCATTCTACAACATCATCACCGGCGCTCTCTTCGGAATTCCGATGCCTGTTCAACCCATGAAGTCCATTGCTGCCGTCGCCGTCTCTGAAATACCTCACCTCACTGTTCCTCAAATCGCCGCCGCTGGTATCTGCACCGCCTCCACCCTTTTCTTCCTCGGAGCCACCGGGCTCATGTCCTTCTTCTACCGCTTCATCCCTCTCCCCGTCGTTCGCGGCGTTCAGCTCTCTCAAGGACTCGCTTTTGCCTTCTCTGCTATTAAATACATACGCTATGATCAAGACTTTGCGGCCACTACTAAAGCCAGCAGTACAATCCCACGTCCGTGGCTTGGACTTGACGGCCTTATTTTGGCTCTCAGTGCTGTCTCTTTTCTTATACTAGTCACCGGCTCCGGTGAAGTTGTTGAGGACGACGACGAAGACAGGATTATTGTAACCAATGACTGTAATCAACCCAGAGTTCGGCGCAGATTACGTACACTATCAGCAATTCCAGCAGCTCTTATTGTGTTTTTACTGGGGTTAATCTTATGTTTCGTGCGTGACCCTTCAATTATTGGTGATATTAAATTTGGCCCCTCAAAGATTCATGTTTTGAAAATCACGTGGGAAGACTGGAAAACCGGATTTTTAAGGGGCGCGATTCCCCAGATTCCGTTATCCGTTTTGAATTCGGTGATTGCAGTGTGTAAATTGTCAACTGATTTGTTCCCAGAAAAGGAAGTGTCAGCTACAAGAGTCTCAGTGAGTGTTGGGTTAATGAATTTGGTGGGCTGTTGGTTTGGAGCAATGCCGTGTTGCCACGGGGCAGGAGGATTAGCTGGGCAGTACAGATTTGGTGGGAGGAGTGGGGCCTCAGTGGCGTTTCTTGGGTTGGGGAAATTGGTTCTTGGATTGGTATTTGGGAGCTCATTTGTGAGGATTTTGGGTCAGTTTCCTATTGGGATACTTGGGGTGCTTCTGTTGTTTGCTGGAATTGAATTGGCCATGGCTTCAAGGGATATGAATTCAAAGGAAGAATCTTTTGTCATGTTGGTTTGTGCGGCTGTTTCATTGACGGGGTCAAGTGCTGCACTGGGATTTGGGTGTGGTATTGTGCTGTTTTTGCTGTTGAAGTTGAGGCATTTGGACAGCTTTGGTAGCCGCTTTGGGAGATCGAATTCCAGGTCAAACAATGATGAAACTAGTCTCAATCAGTAAGACGTTTCAGATTATTTAATTCTCTTTGAGAAATTATTTATGCTCATATGCAAAACTTGTATACCTATTCCACATTTCCACTAGTCCGTATGAAAATGCTAGTTTCTCGAGCTACTATCCTTCATAATCTATATAACTTTGATATTTATCCAGAAAAGAAGAAGAAAATATTCTGTTTTTCCTTTGATATCTGTCTGTTATGCCTCTTTGTACCGGCTAGTCTTATAGCGTTTTGTCTAGGACTGCTAGCGGTTTATGTTGTGTTTTACACTTTTGCAAAGTATTTGTGTTATTGCTTTCCCATTTAGTTGTTGTCTCTCACGTTGCTGATATTATTTTTCTGGGTGTTGTTGTTGTTGTTACGAATCTATTTTTGTCTGAGCCGAGGGTCTCCCGAAAACAGCCTCTCTACCCCTCCGGGGTTAGGGGTAAGGTCTACGTACATTCTACCCTCCCTAGACTCCACTGGTGGGATTCTACTGGGTGGTTGTTGTTGTTGCTGTTGCTGTCTGTTATGCCTCTATCTCGCAGCATCTGAGACTGTACAAGGAGGAATCCCAGTTCCTAAAATGATATGAAGATAGAAATTGCTCTAAAATATTATGGAAGAATCAGGAAATACATCTCTTTTGAGTCAGGATAGATCTTCTGACTATAACACTCAGATTAGTAGAGTATCTAAACATAATGTAGCAATCTGAGCCTATCTAAACATTTGGTAACAACTGGTGTGCCTCTGGGCGATTTAGTGGTTGTGTGAAGTGTTTCAAAAACTTGGCTAGACACTCGATGTGAAAGAAATAGATTCTCCTGAGTTAAGCACTCAGATGGGGACAATAGAGTTATTTTTTTGTAGTGATTCATATCGCTATAAGGTAATAGCTCTCATCACACTCTAGGCTTTTTATCAAAATTGTTGACTTGTATTGCTTAAATGGAGCAATGTGGTCAGTGAGGATTTATATAGCCGACCCCAACTTGCTTGGGATTTAGGCATAGATGTAATAGTAGTTGTTGACTTGTGTTCACATTCTGCAAATCATTAGCCAAGGAATAATACATACGTTTCCTTACAAAAGTTTTGAGTCTGAATTTGCTTTATTCCAGAGAGGTACTCATCACTAAAAAGCAACTAGATAATCAGGAATCAATTGACAATCATACACGATAGTTCTTGTATCTTGACTTCTGCATTTTCTAGTAAGAAGGAGATCTACCGGCCTTCATCTTTCTTAAGATGATAAAGGAAAAAATGATCTCCTTCCAAATGGTAATTCTGCTTTCATTTTGCTGCCTTCTAGTTGTGGATATCTTTATGCCTTTGATTATCACTAGTTACTACCCCTAATATCATTAATACGAGACCTCATTTGCCTTATTTCAGAAGGCTTTGTGTGTGTGTGTATATATATATTTATATATATGTTAGTTTTCAAAGAAAAAGAAATTCTTTTAGCTTACTTTCACAAAGTATAATTGGATAATGCGTACTCTTTTGAACCTTCAACCCTTCACTCTCGCTAGTCAGTGACTGGCGAGGGATGAGAGGTCTAATTAGAAAATCAGACACTAAATAAGACGAGATCCATATTATTTCCAAGCGGAGCTATGAATCGAATTACTGTTATGTATCTAGCAACTGGTATCTACAGCTTTGAAATCCATATATGTGAGATGTGACAAGACGATTTGCATGATGACAAAAGTTGAGTCTATGCATGGTATCCCAATATTGCAAAGTTCTTCAAAAGTTTGTCACTGAAATATTTCACGTTGATGTAATTTCAAAGTGCCATAGCATGATACTTCATAAGAACCACGTACCAGCCATCCAAATGCTATGTTCAAGAATTATGAGCTCTAAGTACAGATCTGTTTTGTTCATCATAAACGAATCTAAACGAATCTGCAATGGTTTCTGCTGACTTGAGGGCACTCTCTCCTTTAGAAAATTGCATCTACTTAAGAGCATGAACTGATCTTTAGGAACAATCATTTATTCAGAATCATGGGATTCTTTCTCTAAGAAGCTCCGCATGGTTGGTTGAATCTTGAATGGAATTGAAGAATCACTCTGATGGATATAATTCACAAACAGGTCTGCTTACCTCGCACATTTTCACTCACTCGGCAAAATATCCATTCTCTAAGCATGAACAGGCTTATGGTCCTCTGATTTAGAAAGGAACTGCATGGACCAGTGGAACCGGTATCATGGGTACAGTAAATCGAACTTATTATCTGTTTACGTGGTTTCTTCTATTTGCATACTTCTCTTGAGCCGAGGGTCTATCGGAAACAACATCTCTACCTTCACAAGGTAGGAGTAAGGTGTACACACTATCCTCTCCAGATTACACTGTGGTTGTTATTGTTTATACTAACACAGAGGCAGTTATGACTGATAATGCTGATTACTGATGCAGAAAATGATCCACAGATTTTCAACCATTGGAGATAATAGAAACTTAACCCTCCCTACTTTTATCTAGTGAGTTATCTTTCCATGTCAAAGCTCTTCAGATGCCATGTGGGATAAAATATTTCCCAAACATAAATCATAGTGGAGATTGTCTCGTTGGGTCACTTGTCAGACATCATCGGCCATATCAGAGAGAATATATCTGTCAGGAAGATAATAAAGTTCATCCTTTACTTCTTTCCTGTTGTCTGGTTGTAAATTTGATATTTCAGCACACTTGCACTTCACTGAGAAGTATTTCAGTCAGGTAACTGAAATCTTCTTCGAGTAGCACAAAGCTGAAACATAGATTGCTTGATAGAAGGGAAGGTAGATTGATCCAAGAGTTATCAGGTGTTTGATGATTCCTACTTCGGGCGTATCTATTGCCACTCAGCTGAATCCTGGAGATCCATTTCTGTTTCAGTCCAACCAACTTAGAAAAACTATTTAATTGAATACAGAGACAACTCCAGGGAGGTCATTTTTATCCTGAACTTTGAGCTACTACACCTACATTTGTACTTTATCTTCAGCAACCTGTTTATCGAGCCAACTCTATTATGCAGAGAACAAGGTGGATGAACTCCTCTCATTTCCTCGATTATGTAGACTGTTCGGTTTTTGGTCATGTAAACCCTTTGGGTCAAGTATATATGCATCCTTTTCGCGTGCAGGTATTTCTATCTTCAGAGTTGCTCATTTTATAGTGGAGCTGCTATACGGTTTCACTGCATCTTGAAATATCTTCTCCTAATCTTGTTTATGTTTAATCTAAGACACTTTCAGAAGTTTGGGCATCAAGATGACACATTAACTTCTTTATCTATTAACCACAGCCAAATGATAAACGATTTCTTCTTTGCCTAAGTGATCCACACAGTTGGTTTTGCAGTTTTCTTTTTTGTGTTACAGTACGGTGGCGGTAGACACAGAGCTAGTGACTCAATTGCGCAACTACTGGGGTATAATTCAGAATTACTGTTTTCTTCATCAAATAATGGTTAGCAAGGAATATTAGAAGGTCCAGGCTAATAGCCTGTTTGGCCAAGCTTCTCAAGAGGCTAAAAGTGTTTTTTTTCTTTTCAAAAGCACTTTTTTTTTTCTAACTTGAGGTGTTTGGCCAAGCTTATTTGGGGAAATAAAGTGTTTTTGGGAAGAAGCAGAAACAGTTTCAGAGAAGCAGAAAAAAGTAATTTCTTTCCAAAAGCAGAAGCAGAAGCAGTTTTGGCTTTTCTTCTTACCTAAAATACCTTTAACAAAATATAGTATATACCAAAATAACCCTTAAACCTAATACTTAAGATATTAATTTATAAATATTTCTTCTTATTTGTAGGAAAACTTTTTAATATATAGTGACTTTAGGGATGAATGCTTTTATATTTGTTGAAGGAATTTTAATATATTTAACTTATATTAAAAGAATTAAGTACTTTTTAATTTTATTTTCATATTTTACTTGAATAAAATGAATTTTTTATTAATTATTGCATGTAATAACAAAATTTTTAGATTATTTATTTACTTATAATATTAATTATTAAGTAAATCTATTCATGTCCTTATTCGTAATTTGACACTTAAAAGCACTTTCTAAAAAGCTTGGCAAAACACAAATTATTTCTCAAAAGTACTTTTCAGACTGATTAGCCAAACACAAACTGCTTCTCTACAAAAGTACTTTTTTCAAAAGCACTTTTGAAAAAAGCACTTCTCAAAATAAGCTGATTTTTCCAGCTTGGCCAAACAGGCTATAAGTCTCTCAACAAAGTTCATTACATTCAGTTCACTGCTCTGATGTTCCTTCTCTGCGTCTATAAGACTATGACCACCTGAGATATCCTATTTTCAGCTTCAGCACCTACTATTGTGCTGATGACAGTGTAGCAGATTTCAGGTTTTTGACAAAATTTTGAGTTCGCAATGGATTTTGGTTCGACATAACTATAGTAATGTATTTAGCAACAAAAAAAAAAAAAAACTATAGTAATGTATGAGAAAACATCAAAGTACTTTATAATTTAGGTGGACGCGTGGTAACTGTTACACCCAAAAATAAATTTTTTGGTAAGTCAAAATTAAGAAAAAATTGGGTTACTAATAACCAAGATTTGCTTCACTTTCCCAGTGATTTGAAGAATAAATCTAAGAATAGAAATAATTGACAAGGAATAAGAATACATAATAGATTGACAATTGCTCCCAAAATTGTGGTAAAATTTTTGAGAATAAAGAAAAGAATAATTGTATAAATTGTGGTATAACAATTTTCTTACTTAATTCGGGCTCACTAATGGCTTTAATTGCCTTGATTACTTGTTACCATATATAATTGTAACGAAAGTATTTATGGCTGAGGATTTCTCGTAACCATATCGATTTTCCTTCCTTATTTATGACGGGTTCGTGCATCTTCCCTTCTTTACGGTCTTTATGCATTCCACTCTTGTTTCTCCTTTTACAGTTGTCAGGCCCAGTTCTTTTCTCGATATAACCCCATGGGTGCTCTTTCTGTGTCTTTTCGCATTCTTTAACTCGTCACTTGTTGCTATATTGATAGTCCATGTACCATGCACTGTCACCTTGATGACAATCCACGTGTTATGCCTTTTTTCCACTAGCCTTTTTTCCACTAATACAGTAACGTACTTCGATGCTCATGTCCGATGCCAAAGTTAATTGTTTACTTATTTAATTGGTCACCTATTTGATTCTTGCCATATCAAAATTTTCATTGTCAATTGCGAGCTGATGGAACTAAATATCTTAATCCAAGAAGTTTCAAAGTAAAGAGATGCATAAAATTGCTTTTTTCGTTGAAAAATATAATTAAATAAATAAAAGTATATATTATCTAATAACATTAATTCTTAAATTGTGTTATCGCACGATTCAACTAGGCAGTAGAACTAATGAAGGAAATATATTTTATTATAAGAGTGTTTGGTATGAATGAAAATATTTTTTATTTTTTTCATATTTGGTTGGCTTAAATATTTTGAAAAATATTTTCCTCATCAACTCATTTTCTTCCAATTGAAGAAAAATATTTTCCCTATCAAAAGGAGGGAAAACATTTCCAAAACTCTTTTTTACCGTTCTCCACCTTATTCCCCGTGCCCACCAACCTACCCCAAACCACCCCAACCCNCTAACATGATAAAGTAAAATGAAACTGAGACTAAGGGTGTGTTTGGTATAAAGGAAAATATTTTTCAAAAAATACTTTCCTATTTTTCCATGTTTGGTTGGTTTAAATGTTTTCTTCATTAACTCATTTTCCTCCATGTTTTCCCTATTAAAATGAGGGAAAACATTTTCCAAAACTCTTTTTCAACCACACCCCACCTACCCCAAACTCGCCCACCACCCACCCTAAATAGAACTATTATTAAGAGTACTTACTTTTCATGTTGTAGATAGAGTACTTTTTTTATTTCAACAAAATGAGTATATTCTTTTCATGATGTAGTAAAAGTATTTTCTTTCATTTCAACAAAATGAATATTTTCATTTTATGATGTAGAAAAAGTATTTTCTTTCATTTCAACAAACTAAGTATTTTCTTTTCCAGGAATAGAAAAAGTATTTTTTTTTTCCAAAAAAATGAGTACTTTCTTTTCATGATATAGAAAAAATATTTTCTTTCATTTCAACAAAACGAGTACTTTCTTTTTATGATGTAGAAAAAATATTTTTTTTCATTTCAAAAAACTAAGTATTTTCTTTCCCGATGTAGAAAAAATATTTTTTTTCATTTCAAAAAACTAAGTATTTTCTTTCCCGATGTAGAAAAAATATTTTCTTTTATTTTAACAAAACGAGTACTTTCTTTCATGATATAGAAAAAATATTTTCTCATTTCAACAAACTGAGTATTTTTTTTCATGATGTAGAAAAGATATTTTCTTTAATTCAACAAAATGAGTAATTTCCTTTCATGTTGTACAAAAGATACTTTCTTTTTGAACAAAATAAAGTATTTTCTTTTTAGTTATCAAGCTCAAATTTTAACATTGTTCGTATGTGAAAAAGTAAAGTAGCACATTAATTCCTTTGGGTTTGTGTGAATTTTGAAAAGAATATTTAAATTCTTGAAGAAAATAGAGTCCAAGGTGTGGGGGAGGAGGGGGGGGGGGGGGGGGGGGGGGAAGGAGTTCAGGAAACATGGGGATATTGGGAAAGGTGGGTTGAAGAGAGTATCATAAAAAATTATTTTCCTAAAATATTTTATACTCTCTAACCAAACACTAGAAAATATTTTCCAAAAATAGTTTTTCATTCACCAACCAAACAAGGGAAAATAAGTGATAAAACTACTCATTTTTCAGGAAAACATTCTAATATTTTCCTTCATACAAAACACACCCTAAATCTCTAAAAGATCACTATAATTCTTTATTTCCTTCACACATCTCTATACATAAAAGAAGCTACCAATAAACAAAACTTATTTCAACTAGAAATATGAAATTATATTCCTATATAATAATGACTACAAATTTTATTTAGATATAAATTAAATAAACTTGTAAACACTATAGCCTAAATAATTTTAATTTTCTACTACAAATTTGAATTAATTTCCAACGACTAATATAAATTCAGAGTTCAAATCTCGCCGCCAACAAAAAAGTTCATTTACATTTTAGCTTAGCTATTAGAAAAAGTATCTAACACGTATGCTAGGAAGTTGTTACTGATATAAATAAAGTTGAAAAAAGTATAGCTGTTAATAACAAACTTTTTTATGAAATGATATCAATTCAATTTAATACAAAAATCGATAGAGGTCCTAATGAGTTTGAGTCTCATTGTTACCCTTTATTAAAATATACTAGATAATTATTGCCCGTGCTAAAGCACGGACCCAACAATGTAATCATACAATGTTGTTGGGACAATATTATTAGGACGTATTGTTGTTCAAGTTGACACACTTTCAGTAGAATGTAATTGTGAAAAAATATGAGCTACATTTGCATCCACTATTACCTTAATATATTCATCAATAGTGGCGTTGTGATTGCACTATTAAAGCAGGAAATTTATCACATATTTTAATTCATCTCATGAGAAATATTTAACACCTCCATGTTCAGAAATTAATCAAGGACGGCGTAAATTTTAGGAGACTTAAAAAGTATTGACAAAACAAACACAAAATTAAAACTTACAACAGACTGTGATCAATGTAGAACTCCATTTAAGAATGTTACAACATTTAACTTAAAGAAGCTACGGAGAAAATTATAGTAACCTGTAATATGTTTGTTACAACTCTATTAACAAAATTGCAGTTACGCTGTAATACAACCCATTTTTAACCATCATGTCCAATAAAAATGCAATGGAGATTCCCTTTTTGGAGGGATGGTAGTCTTTTTCCATTTTCCTGACATGGAGGTATGTTTAGATGGAAACATATAACTATTGTTTGGGTCTTTCCTTGAACATGTTATTTGTTTTTACTTCTTTCTTAGAAGTTGAAAATCCAGAGTGGTCTTCTGTTTATATAAACACATGCTTGGCGTTAATATACTTAACCATTTATATATGCAATAGTGCAATACCACTTGCTAATAAATATCACAGTTTTGATCTGATGTTAAAGGGCAAGGGCTCAAATGTTTATAAACGAGAAAGCAAGCTACCTGATTTAATTTGAATCTGGTTT